TGTAAGAAGTTTTTAAAAACAATATTTTTCTGTTTTTTCATTAAAGTGAATTTGATAATATAAAAAGCACTACATGCAATAGATGTAAGTAGTTGAGTTTGAGGAATTGGCTTGAGTCTAAGTTTGTGAATACAGCCAATATGTGCTGGGTAACCTTTGAGGACAAGAGTAGCTTTACTTAAAAGGGTGTGTTTGTTGTCTAGTAAGAATACGCAGGGGATATCCTTAAGTTTGCAGATGATGCATGTATGAGCATGATGGGAGTGTGCTTGTATTTGAGGTGCTTGGGATGAGCTACTAGATGTTGAGGTAACAGAATAGTTAAGAGAAAATGGAAGAGAAGGAATAGAACTAGATTTGGTAATAGAAGATTGTGAAATATCATCTTTTAAATTTTTAACTTGTTTAGAAGTTAAATCCATAGACATTGTTGAGAAAGAGAAGGAGTAGCTTGTCTGGGAGGAATATTTAAGTAGCATGAAGTAAAGAAAGTATAGTATTTTTAACAGAAACAGTGGATGATAGCTGGTTCTTCAGATGTATAAAAGAAATGAAGAGTTTTTAAAGTACTACATTCACTTTGATTGAATGCAAAGAGCATTGCTTTCAATAAGCTAGGTTGAACCTCACAAATCATTGTGCCATATTGGTCACTATATTTATTATAAAAGTAGTTCAGGTCATAATAATCTGGTTCTTGGTTAATTAGAGTAGACATTTTAATTAAAAAAAATCTAAGTTTTTACTAAGAAAAACTTATTTTTATTAAATTTAACAAAGTTGTTTTTAGGAGTTAAACTAAAAACAGTATTTAAATTAAATTGCGGCTAGTGTGGCTGGTCTGTGTAACCTTGTATTACCTTGTGTAACAACAAGATAAAAATATTGTGGCTGGTGTGGCTTGTATACTTGTGTGACCTGATGTAATATAACAAAAGTTGTGTAAAGTTATTAAGACTAAAATAGTAAATTAAAAATAAAGATAAAAATAGATGAAACAGATAATATTTTTGTATAAATTAATTAGTAATATTGATTTGTAATAGTGATCTGCAAGGGCATGGTAACTTAGTAAAGTGGTCAAGTTGTCACCCCCAAGTGGCAGATCCAAGGTTAAATTCCTACTGGCGATGATTATTGAATACATAATCTGTATATCAACAGATATGTCAACTTAATTGGATATATCAGTATAAGACGCTGTAACTAGATCTCATTTACTATGAGCTAGAGCACTAATTAGGAAGGACCACTTGCAAATCCTGAGTATAGCATTCATTTGGGAAAGGTTGATAGTCAGGTCTATGAAGAAATGCAAGCTATACGACCAGTGCAAATCCACGATAAGACTATATAAGGGTTATTTCTAGATGCAGTGTAGGACTGCATACTGGCACACACAATTACAAATACAAACACATGTACAAAAACACAAACAAATACTATGAACAATTAAAATCTTCTGTAAAACATTAATGCAGCCGCCACCTTACTAAAAGATATATCTGTTGTAGTTAATAAGAGGAATGAGGTATGGAGGGGGACAGTAAAGCCTCTATACGTGAAGGACCAGTATAATAATGGTCAGACCAAATATATATGGCAAACTATGGAATCCTTCACAGCTATGAGAGCCAAGCATAAAATGGTAAGCACTCTTACAGAAGAAATTCTATCCAAATCATCATCAACACCACTAGACTCCTATAATTTAGATATATATTACAATAGATAACTTAGCTACTACCAACTACCTCTATTAAGAGAACCACAAACTATCAATTCATTTAAACAACATTTAACACAAAACAATGCTAAGCATCTTGTATATTATCTCTTAATTTTAGTTAGTAATAACAGAACTGAAGCATATGAATACTTACCTGATGACCCTAACATACTACCAAATCACCATATCTTCTCCATTATATATGACTCAGATGATATCTCATTGAGATCTATATCAAGCCTACCAACTATACTACCTATTTCTTCTACCTCATCTATTTCAGAACACCAAACTGCTGAATATTCAACTAATAATCAAGATCAACCTCTCAACTTAACTATAAGTATACACAATGTTAGAGGATATAATACAGACCTCAAGCAACAAGTTTAGGAAAATTACTGCATCTCCAACAATCTTAATATTATAAGCATAACTAAAACCAAGATCCCCCAGGAAAATGCTCGAACAAAACTTCAAAAATCCAAAGACTTTATCTACTATTGGTTCTGTACAGACAGTTCCAAAGCAGGTACAGCAATTATGATTAGAAACTGGTTAAAACCACATGTTCACAAAATAATTACATTTTCTGGCTATGCTGTAGCAATCGACATTCTTTTCAAACATGACTTCAAATTCAGAATCATATCAGTCTATCTACCCTGTGATAGTCTACAACTTCGTCTTGAAGTTCAAAATACAGTTATCCAATGGCTACAAGAAGCAACATCTAATAATTTGCAATCTATTATTATGAGAGATTTTAATGCCTCCAATGATAATATATAATCTATATCTATTAAATATAAGCTACTTCAATTTCTCCAATATAATAATATATATGATCTGGCAACCTATACACAATCCACAAATACTACATAGCACAATAGCAGACACAGTAGTAGTTGTATAGACTACATCTGGGCTCATCATCCTGTACTTCATTATCTAACTTCATTTCACCTTGAGGATACAGATACCTGTACTAAAAGTAATCACAAAATTTTGATATCATCATGGTCTTTTCCATATGCACTTACAGACAAATAGCGTCGCTCAACCAAAACTAAAAGAAGAATCTTTCAATACAAAAATATGAATGAAGAACAATTGCTAAATTACTCAGAACAAATCTCACTCAACCTTAAAAATAACAATACTTCCTATTCTTTCAATACTACAGGATCTTTAGAATCCACATGGCACAAAATTCAAACCAGCACTATCACTGCAGCACTTCAACATATTCCTAACAAAAAGTTTGCTGTTCGTAACTTTCAACATATTTTCTCATCCAAAGCATCTAAGCTTCACTACAATCTTAAAAAACTTGGTAATATCATTAGATAAGTTAAACATTCTTTAACAAACCTATCTTCTATACCTGTTCATCACAATTCTACAATAAGTTATCTTAATTCACAATATCAACTCCACATCTCTAATATACTACTTGACTATACAACATTACTAAAATGGATATCTGCAGCAAACAATGAATAGAAAGCACTTTATTATGCTCACAACATTGAAAACATTAAAGAAATCAAACAACAAATTTATGAAAATATTACTAAACGATGCAATTAGTGTTCGAAAAAGTCAGCACGGATCGGATTCAGATTTGTGCGGACCCAAACCGTCGGATTAGGTTTGGCCCCTGAAACGTCGGATTGGGCCCGGATTGAGCGGGATTGGGCCTAATTTTAGGTCATGTCTTTATATAATCACTCCATGTGATAAATTCGAATTTGTTATGTGATAAATTCGAATATATCACATCTTGTGTCACAATATAAGTGACAAATTCACATTTGTCACGTGATAAATTCGAATTTATCACTTATATTGTGACAAATATATGTGACAAACCGTCAGATTGGCACGGATCACTCCCGGATTCAATCCGAATTACGGATTCAGATCGGATTCGGATCAATCCTGGATTAACCGGGATTTTTAATCTGATTTTGAATACTATTTAAATCAATGTGGATTCTTTTCTTATAATCTACTTGTAGGTTGAAGAAAGGCTTTGTTGCATTGAAGTAGCAGTATTTATCACAGTAGTGATAGTTTTTAAAACTACAGCCCTGGCAGGCAATTATTGTATTATCTGGTTGTAAGATATAATGTCAAGTTTTAAGCATTTCATTCAATGAGTTGTAT